TGTTCCTTTACTTTTTTCTAATTTAATCCTACTACTTTTCCATTTTTAATGTTTTTATTTACTTGTTTCCATTCTTTTTCTTAAATTTATACATAACCTGCACGTTACCTCTCACCTTCAGATCAAAGGCCTGAAGCCACATTAGCTAAGGTGGAGCCTGGTTATAGCCACTCCCCTGGTTGGCAAAATGCAGTACAAATGAATGGAAGAAGAGTATAAAAAGCAAAGGCGCAGTTCTTCTTACAGCTATGCTTCAAGTTAGAGCTGCTACTTCTGCTATAGACACCTATGAATCAGTGAGGAGCCTCTTTGCTGCTAGCAACAACTTCTTTCCTTATTTTGGAAATTTTCCTCTATCTCCATTCCTTCGATGTAGCTTTCTGCCAACCAAGGGGTGTGGTACTTGTGTGGTTGAAGATTTCTACGCCTACATTTAATCACAATTTAATGGAATTCATACTTTACTTCAAAGGAAGTGTGAGCTAACCGCAGGTTATGTATAAATTACATTCTGTTATGATTGTGTGGTTAGGTTAATTATATTCATGCTGATCACATGCACATAAATTAAAATGGCGTCAAACCACAAACCCACGCGGTGCTGCAGCTGGATTTTGTCTTCCGTTTTGTTCTCTCCTTGCTTCTTTTTGAAACCACTTGTCCGTCCTTGACCCAAGCACAAAGGAATGATGTAAATGCCCACTCAAGCGGTTCTCTGGTTTAAAAGATTTCCGTGTTGATAGAAGAAGATGAAAGAAGAAAAAGTCTGAAGAATTTTGCAGAAATTTGAATTTGGGCCTGTTCTCTAGAAATGCTCTCGCTACAGTACAGGCCACTTTAAAGGTACCAGGAGAATCACTCATTGATGAAGAGCTCATCTAGGCCATTTATAAGGCTGTACAATGTAAGATAAAAGAGTTATAAGCGTTTTAAAATTGTAAATTTGGTCGCCATCTTGAAAAATCCACCTGAATCCAACATATAGGCTACCGCCTATATAATAGACATACACACGTATATCCCTGTCTAAATTCTATATACAAAATATAGACCTAACCACATCAAAGGAAGAGGTATTAATTGTACTATATATATATATTGTATATAATACTTTAAAAGGACATACCTACATGTACATGTAGTTTCCTTTTACAAATGGTTTACATGTATATGTACATGTATGTGAGTATGTTCATAATATTAGTACATGTACCTGTCTTGCCCTGTTAAGTGCCTGTCGCTCCATGTTTTGAGTTAACTAGAAAAGAGAAAGAGAGAGAGAGGAGGAGGAGAAAAAATAGGTTAATCCCCATGTATGTGCATATAAAGTAATTGTTATCACTATTACAGATTCCACAAATTGCTCTACTAGGCTGGGACAATACAATTGAGAGATGTGATAGTCATCACAAGGGACTTACCCTCTGGAGATTTTTAAACTTTATTCCAGCTGTACTGAATGTTGTCATTAACATTTCAAATTGATTCCGTTCAGTCTGAGAAAAAGAAAAATAGCTATTAATAATATCCCAAGAGTGTACTAGAATATCCTAGTATAACACATATAATTATTCCACAACTTACAGGTGTAAATTGGTTACTTTGAAGTCTTAATTTCTGGACAGAGGTGTTAGTAATCTTAGCTAACTGAGCAGTGTCTGTTACTAACTGAATACTAAAACAGGTGGATAGTTAAACAAAGAAAGGGAGAGAGAGAGAGAGAGAGGGAGAGAGAGAGAGAGAGAGAGGGGGGAGAGAGAGAGAGAGAGAGAGAGAGAGAGAGAGAGAGAGAGAGAGAGAGAGAGAGAGAGAGAGAGAGAGAGAGAGAGAGAGAGAGAGAGAGAGGGGGGAGAAAAAGAGGAGTGAGAGCAACAAAGAGTTAAATAGGAGATAAAGAAAAAATGGCAATACATGTATTTATGTAGTAAAATAATACATGTGTGGCATAGATATTGTGTATTTATTGTATGTGAATTGTGAAGGCATACATACACTGTAGTTTATGTGAAGACAATTAAACTAAAGAGTTTCCCCGAAATCAATCTTACTACAAATGCATAATTCAATAGTCACATTAGTAAAACAGTCCCTTACTCTGGAATCCTCATCAATACACCAACACACAATTAAGACAATGTGGGTGTGTGTGTATGTGTGTGGGTGTGTACGTGCGAGTTAATTAAAGTGGGTGTGGCAATAAAAAAGAATCAATTAATTAAAGTGGGTGTGGCCAAAAACAATTAACACCCACACGTTAAATTAGAATGTTATACGTATACTTGCTATACACATGCATAGCAAAAATGAATAAAATTAATTGACTTGATTTATATGATTTGTAAAGAGAAATTTTGGTGAATTTGGCAAATTAAGGTCCATTTGTCAAGATTAGTCTCAAACATGAAACATGATGGAGAGGTCTACAGAAGCATGCACATAATCATGCTATTTTGCCAAAATAGCCACCAAATCACTTTTAGAATCAATTCGCCAAATTACCGTAAAAGATGATTTAAAGTTATTGGCGAATTTTATATTGGCAATTTTGTGCCATAATCTGTGATTGAGCATGCTCAGTTTAAAACAAAATGGCAGATTTTATATTGGCGATTTCTTCATAGTTCATAGAACCGCCAATTGCCAATATTCATTCCTCGCCAATAAATCATCTTGTACGGTAAAAACTCCAAATTTTCACTAGCTTACTAGCCATACGGTCAAGCCTAGTAATGCTAGACATGACATAAAAACATTAGACACGGAAATTACAAAGAAACGGAACTTTCCCGCACTATCTTGTTCACAGATTGGATTACAGACGGGTCAGTACCAGTGGTGATAGAGGAATCTCTTTGAATCGCTAATTGTGGGTATCATCACAGCCGGTAGGAATATTCCCTTTACGCAACAGTACAGATAGAAGCCGAATTAATCAAATAACATAAAGATAATAAAGGTATTTAATCTCTCTTCCTTTAGTCCCCTCATAAAATAAAAAAAATAAAATACCATTCATAAATAATGTTGATACATACATGTACATGTATAGGGAAGTGGTGATGTGATCATAATTAGTATTTTTATTTAAAAATTATTTCAAATTATCAATATTGTGACATAATATTAGTTAAATAGCATGTAACTACCAATAAGATGACTGATGACAATTATACAATTTAATAATTACAACATACACTTACAGTTCGTCTCTTAATTTTGGTGAATCGTCTCTCGAATTCAAAAGATTCGATTTATTCTCGAGTGTACGAACTACAAGAGAAAAACAAATTTTAAAAATGCAATATAAACTATACCCAATCATGTACATGTACTTCATGTAGTTATTAGTGTAAAAACAGGATTACAATCAACAACGAGTCATGACTATAGCATCAATAAAGGTATATGTACATGCACTTCATGTAGTTATTAGTGTAAAAACAGGATTGCAGTCAAAACGAGTCATGACTACAGCATCAATAAAGGTACATGTACATGTACATGCATGACAACATTTCCCACAGAACTACATGTATACGTGTTATACATCACAAATGTACATGTACATGCACCTGAACATGGACACACATACATGTACATGTACATGTCACTTTCAGTCAATATTACCATTGTTATTGAAGTGTTGTACGTTTTCCTCTACTTCTTGTAAGTTACGAGCAATCTGAGGATTAGAGGGCCCTAGTGGAGGAGAGAAAGAGAGAGAGTGAGTTTAAGAAACTGAAGGTTTTAGAGCTCAACCACGCCCACCCACACCAAAATTACTCGAAACAGTAGAGTGAGCAAAGTCATCGAACTCACGATAACCAGTGGCCATTCTGTAAATCCTCTGCTGTCTTTCTGTCTTCTCTTTCAGGAGCGATGAATTAACAAGATTTAAACAAAGCTAGTCATGTGAGAGACCAATTAATCGGCCATATGCAAGTTACGGTCACGCCCTTATTTATTACCACGCCCATAGCCACGCCCCAGCAAGATTATTGCATAATTGCATTATTGATTACAGCAAGCACAATTTTTGCAATTACATTGCAAAGCCTGCATTATTATTGCTCAATACTGGGAATTGTTATCAAACTTGCATCAATAATTATATCTATAAATAGATATAATAATGACAATGCAACTAGTGCAAAAGGGTAGCTAAAGAATAAATAATCGCTTGTTCAGTGAACATTCACACATTTCAATAAAATAATTATTAATAATAATTATAATGTCAATAATAGTTTGTTGCTGCAGATTTAGCTAACAGGACAGCTACATGTACATGTACATGTAGATGGAGTTGTAGTTGCTTGAACGGTGTAGTACGAAGTATACGATGCTGTAGAAGTTGTAGTTGGTTCAGGAAGCTTTGTGGGAGCTGTATTAGCAATAAAAAAAACATTAAATAATTTGTATCCCATGCCTTTTTTTATAGAAGTGCAATATTACAGGCTCTGCATTAATAATACATTTCAGAAAGTTATTTTGCCTAAGTTGCACATTCATAGGATAATTTTTGTCAATCATGCATTAAAGACGGCAGCTGTGCTTGTTGAGGCAAGCAACAATAATATTTCTTATAATTCTATTATAATTGTAGCCCTTTCAAGGTAAGGCATGATTCAATTTGCAATATTGAAAAACGATTTCCTTTAGCAGTGACAATCCTCTCATGTTTTCACTTTGTTTACTTACTTGGTGTCACACTGACTGTAAATGTAGCGGTCATCGTAGAGAAGACATTAGAGCCTTCATTGATGTCTATCTCTGCATAGTACACACCACTGTCTGATGAGACGGCATTGCTGACATTCATTTTTATATCCCATGGGTCAGAGCTACTACGTGTGTAAGATGCCCGACCAATTTTGTAGCAGCCAGTTTTGGAACAGCTCAGAAGTGGTGTGGAGCCCTTCTTTAGCCGGCCAAATGCAATTTCTTGCTTTTTGCCACTTGGTCCTCCATTGACATAGTCCATTGATATATTGAATGGTATTTGGTCTCCTTCTGAGACTGTAGTAGTTGTTCTAAGGTTACAATTCTTCACAGGTGAACAGCCTTTGAACTTGGGCACAGCTGCAGATGAAAAGAGAATGAGATAATGTGATACTGCAGTTGTGCAACTAGGAACTTACCCATTACAATGAGATTAAAAGTATCAATGCCGCCATTACCATAGCTGCACTGATAAACCCCTTCATGCTGTGCTACGACTGTTTGAATACTCATGATGTCTCCATTAGTCAAAACACCTGCTGAGTACTTATTCCCTCCATTATTATTATAAGACCAGACACTAGTAAAAGATGAGCACTGGAACTGTGCTCTCTGCCCTGTTCCTCCTTGCTTGTGGACATCAACATTTTCTGAAATGAAAAATAAGATAACTTAGAAGAAAGACTATATTACAGAGACTTACTGCCTCCCATGCATATTCCAGTAGCTATACTAAGAAATAGAAAAAGGCAACATTTTACTGCAAATTCAGCCATACTCTATGTATACTCTTGTCTAGTCTACATGGAAAGAAGAATACATTTCATATCACTAGCAGTCTAGCACTTACTTTTGACAAATGCTATACTACAGAACAAAGCAGCCTTTTTATACAAATTCTATGCAATGAATACAATTAATACATCCTGCATAGCTATGACAGTAAAGTGTGCATACTAGCTTTACTATTGTAGCATTGAGAAGTAAGTTTAGGCAATTCAAAAATGTTATGAAAAGATTAATAATATAATAAAACTACTCTTCTTCAAGGAATAAGAAGTTAAAGCTGATAGCTATAATTACTATTAAAATCTACGACTTTTCTAATAGAATTAGAAGCCTGCATGCAGTGTATCTAGCTATGAGTCTTCATGAGCAGAATACATACACCATTTAAACTTACTTCATGGTCAGTTTTGTCTGCTTTCGATCCATCAGGCAACGTTAACTAGAAAGCGGAGGAATAGAAGAAAAATCAAATTCTATTAGTCTAATAGCAAGAATGACACAGCATGACATTGCAGGAAATTCCAACATTGCATCATTAGCATATCTTCTAAGGAATGTTAGACATGTCCTGAGTTTAGCTTAGTGTAGAATAGGATGCATGACCTTCATTTCGCACATTATTTGACTTAAATTGACTATACAAGGTAATAAAGGTATTCCCCTCAGTCTGTCACATTATTAATCAAATGACAAAGTGGAACCATACTAACCTCTCAATGGTGTTGGCATGAATGGAATTGACAGGACAGAACTGAGCTTTTACAGCCATGATCTATCACTACTGCATAAACCAATCCCACGCTAAAGTCGCTAATTATTATTACGCTGTACAGGGCACGTGATTGATATGCTGTTGTCATAGTTACTGTTACACAATGGAGTCTTGTGTGAGGTTTTCATTATCACCCATTGTGTCAAGAGCGCCTTTTCTCTCTTCATCGACATCAAAAGCGCTAGCACCTACTGGACAGAAACAGGTCTTTGAGTTTTTAGAGAAAAGGAGGCTTCAGTATATTGTTAGGCAAGTCAAAATGAAGTCGTCCACAGCAGCAAAACAGCAGAAAGAAGGAGGGGCTGGTGAGAGTAGCGGGGGCGAGCTCGCCGCGCCAATTCAGGCGGGAAGATATCGTTTGTGTTTGGAAAAGGGTAAGTTTTACAAGTGTGATAATGGGATTTCATAGAGTAGTGAATAAAATTATTATTATTATTATTATTATTTTAGAACCTGATAAATTTGCAGAGCACATAGTAGTTAAAGCAAAGGCCAACATTAAAACTAAGAGAAAGAGAAGGAAAAGACAATCACCTCCTCCGCCATCACTTCAATCAAGAACGACAATGGCATCAATATCAGAACAATCAAGACCACAAAAACTGACATCGACCCCAAGACTAAATTCATCATCATCTA